TAAATATAAATATAAATATAAATATAAATATAAATATAAATATAAATATAAAATAAATATAAATATACGCATATTATTAATATTCTTAGTAATTTATTTTATTTGTTTATTTCATATATTTTTTTGTTTTCTAAAACTTTAATTTAGTTCCTGTCTATAGAGCATATATATCAAAGACATCCTTTTCTATAGTATAGGGTAACTCACTACCAAGCAGTTCCCAGTTGCCATTTGCAGCCTCTCTTGAGCTCCCACTCCTTATATATATTTATAGTCTATATGATATTTTTTTCATTGTATGCGAAGCGCGCTCATTGCGCTCCCTTTCTTCTGCTCTTTTTGGGGCTTGATGATGGCTCTCTGAGCCGCTCTCCTATTTGCCATTAAGCATACCCTGTGAACAGCAAAAGTGCATCATATGGGGTATATTATTTTTGCCTAGATATATTTGATCTAAAAATACAATGAAAACTTGTTTCTGAATGTAAATTTATAATTAAAATTATTAAAATATTACAAAAATTACTTTTGAGATTAAATGAAACATATATTTGATTGCATTTTACAATATTTAATGAGTATTTAATTTGCTATAAAATATAATTCTATATTGCAAACAAATAGCATAAAGCAAGTGTATCGAAGGAATACTTATGGAATTCTCATATTAAAATATATAACTGAAATATTATATACATATAGCGTATCTGCTAGCCGTTCATAGTGGACTAGAGTAACCTTACTTGTTTTGCTGTTTTATATACATATACATATAAATATATATATTGTTGTTGTTGTATCACGTTTTTGTATGTTATTTTGTTGTTGCTTTTTACGTTTTGTGTAGGAAGCGACAAACGCAGTCGGCGGCGGCGGCAACGTTGGCGGCAGCAGCGGCGGTGTCGTCGGCTTGGAGCCAACGTCACCAACGTCGCTGCCGCCATACCAAGTGAAAGCGATGGAGACCATTTTCATCAAAGAGGTGCACGCGAACGGACCGGCTCACCACGCCAATCTACAAACGGGCGACCGGGTGCTAATGGTGAACAACACGCCGATCGCTGGCATTGCCTACAGCACAATTGTGTCGATGATCAAGCAGACGCCGTCGGTGCTAACGCTGCACGTTGTGCCCAAGGAGTGTGATGTGCTGCAAATGGTGAGTGCGCCAAAAAAAAAAAAACAAAAACAACAGAGAGAGAGAGAGAGAGAGAGAGAGAGAAAAAGTAAATAAATGTGAAAGAAATGTTCAAAGTTCAGTTGATGATAAATTCATATTGTGATCGAAAGTAATATCGCATCGTAACTAGTGTAGCCCTCTAATTCCGTTATCCGTTCGTTTGCATGTCGCCTCTGCAGCACTACACGAGCATTGCCCACACGCCGGAATCGAATCGCCTAACGATGTCCGCACAGGCGCCACAGCAGCCATCGATGGGCGCTGGCCACACGACACATTCGCCGGTGCTGCTGGCAAACGCCGGTGCCGCCGGCATCAAGTCAACATTTCCACAGCAACAGTTGATCTCATATCCCGCTGTTGCCGCCAATACATCCTCGACAGCATCCTCTGTGTCGCCAGCAACGCCGCTGCACGGCGGCAGTCGCTCCGGCAGCATCACTAGCAATGCCAGCGGCAGTGGACTGCCCACCAACAATAGTAGCCATCATCACCAGCATCATCATCACCAGCAGCAGCAGCAGCATCCGCATCCGCAACGTCATCCGGCGCTTGCAGGCGGCAGCAGCAGCATCGACTTTGGTGACATGGCCCATGGCATGCGTCAGCATCAGCATCAGCATCAGCAGCAGCAGCAGCTATACCACCATCAACAGCAACATCATCATCATCATCAGCAGCAGCTGCTGTCGAGCAGCTTTATGCGGTAAGTGTAAACTATTTCAACTTACCTGGGCCATTGACGTCAGCGTGTTCCCAAAGCCAAAAACCGGGCATTTGATTTGATGGGGCAGGGGGAGGGCGGTGGGAACCCTCGCCTCGGTACAGCATGTGTGTGGAGTGTAGAGGGGCCTGGGTTGGTGGGATACCGAGCAATAGCAGAAACGGCTGTTAATCTTATCAGACGCCAGTCGGCAGGTTGTGGCGACGCTCTGCCCACTGGCGTTTCTCTTTCGCCAAAGCAGCAACCAAATGACAGTGTTTAGTGCAATTAGACGGGCCAGCGGTCGTTGCCAACTGGCACAGTGGTGCGCAAATGCCAGCTCTCTGTCCTCAGAATACTTCTGAAATCAAACATACAAAACACACACACACAGACACTAGCATGTGATATACGTACAGCATTTCGTAGCATGCAAAACACTGAGATTCTTAGCATATCGCAGCGCTAGGATGAAGAGGCAGTAGCTCTTGATGCAGCTCCAGCCTAGGCGATCGTTGTATATGGCCCGCATACAGTTGCGTAGCTTGAGCCAAACCTTGGTCAGGTTACTGGGTAACAACATATTCAAGATAATTCTATCTTTGCGTCGAGTCGAGTGCAACAATTTGTAAAAATAATTTAATGGTATTTCGGATTTTACATGCTTTTCGCGGGATAACGAGAAAAATTTTGATAACGAGAATTTCACGAAATTTGTCGAAGTCACCGTGTGAGGAAATAAACAGAAAATGAATTGAATTTTCTGTCCCAATAAAATATAAAAAGTCGATAATGACGTAAAATGCCTATATAGACGATGTACGGAAATTCGCTTTGGCAGTGGAGCTTCTCACGAAAATCGAAAATAATAATAAAAAGTCGTGTGAAGAAATTTGCAGAAATTTAATAAAATCTCTCTTTCGCGGAAATCTAGATAACGACGTAATATTCCTATAGAGAGGAAAAGAAAACAATATTAAAAAAAAATATACATATATATTGCATATTAAAAAGGGGAAATAAAATTTTAAAATATATTTATAATATTTACAAAATATGAAAAATATATAAAATTAAAAACAAATTTAAAAAAAATAATGAAAACAAAATAAACGAAAAATAAATAAACAAAAGTTAAATAAACGAAAAATAAATAAACAAAAAAAACTTAGCAAATAAATATTTTTAAGAAAAATATATTTAAAAAAAAATTAAATAAATAAATATGTGGATACAAAATAAAATAAATATAAAATTAAATAAATAAATATGAAAATAATAAATAAGAATAATAAATAAAGATTTAAAAAAATAAATAAAGATACAACAATGATAGAAAAAAATAAAATAAAAATATTAATAATAAAAAATATTAATAATAAAAAATAAAAAGAAAAAATAATAAAGTAGAAAAAATAAAATAAAAATAATAATAATAGAAAAAAAAATAAAACAATGGGTTCAGGGTATAATAATAATAATAATAAAAATAATAAAATTTAAAAATAGTAATAAATAAAGATAAAAAATAAATACACAAATAAAAAAATCAATTTTATGTTATCATTTGAGAAAAAGTACAGATAATAATATGAAAACCTTTTTATATTGTATTAAATTAAAATATACATATATGCATTAAAATGATTAAAAATGTTGTCAAATTTAAATCGATTTGAATGAAAAGTAAATATAAATAAATAAAATATATACATATGTTACAGAGCTCTAGCATGTGGGTTTTATGTTGGCAAAATAAGTAAACAAATTACAGCTTTATCTCTATCTAAATAGTTATTTAAGTGTTTTGTTTTTTGTTTTTTTTTTTTTTTATCATAATTTGCATACTTGCGTACCACTGCCGCGCCTGCCAATGCTAATAGACGTACATACGTCGGATGTTTCATAAATATTAATTCGCACTTGCACACTCGCTCACACACACACACACAGAGAGAGACACTCGCACACATGCATACGTGTATAAGCAAACTCATTCAGCAAAACAAATTGACAGTTTACTGGCCAACAGCCTTTGGCGCCGTCGCGATTCCAATGAACTTGATCACACTGTGTGGCATTTGATTTATGGTGACATCAACAGACTGCCTACCTTTACCTCCAATACACACAGATGACTCTGTATGTGTATGTGTGCGTGTGTGTGTGTGGTTTGCATATTGTACATTATTTCACTTTCATTCAAAATTAAAACAACAATTTCAGTGTCAGACAAATTGTTGACAATTCAATAATGCGATACTCGAATTTTGCCATACATATATACATACATATATTATAGCATATAATAGCAATTGCTCTAAATGTAACTTGAGCTAAGCTCAACAATAATAATTAAAAACAATTGCAAACTGTTTGCGATGTTTGCCAAATTTACACTCATCATTCCATTTCCCCTGGGCTCCCATTTGTTTTGTTGTTGCTCTTTTTTTTTTTTTTTTTGTCCAGACTTTTTGCAGTCATTAATTTACAAACATTTGCACATGTACACACGTTATGTGTACAAGCATCTATGATAATTATGGTGATGGTGATGATGATGATGATGATGCTGTTTATTATGATGATGCGTCGATACTTTGACCGACGCACACGGACAGAGAGACAGACGGACAGACAGACGGACTGACTGACTATAAAAATTGTAGAACACCACACAGCAGATAAATGTGGACGTCGTCTGTGACTACCACACGGTGATTTCATCATCATATTTAATTTTTACCCCATTTATTGCTAAGCTTATTTTTCGCATTGTTCAAGATGTGCAGAGAGAGTATATTGGTTTGGTGCAATGTGCGTGGGAAGCCGCGATGAGCTAAATGTTGCAAATTTAGTTTTGAGTTGAGACTACAAAGTTTCGTACTTGAATCACTGTAGATCTATTTGCTGCAATTGATATATGGATATAGTAGATGAGATGAGTTATAGATATAGATATAGATATAGATATAGATATAGATATAGATATAGATATA